ACATGGTAGCTCCCTAGTGTTCAGCGTACCTTGGAGGTAACTCTGGTGTCGGGGGAACCACCGGGCAGCTGGGCAGGTCGGTTATTTCAATACCCCTCAATCTCTAATATAAATATAACAATTATACAATAAATATAGCACAAACAAATGCACATGCAGTACATGTCTATATGACTGTATATCAGTATAAATATACAAAATAGTCTTATATAAAAAATATTTTCTAAATCAGGGCCTAATTTAATGTAAGTTTTTAAGTAGCCTTCATTATTTTTTAGGGGCATGCCTTGAGCTAATGTACTCAAACCTGCTAGCAGCAGGCCGTCCACAGGCTGGAGGTCTAAGAAGTCCCAGATCAGACCATCTATGCATGCATACTTGATTCTACAACACACATGCAGGGAATCCACCATCTGTGGGGCACATCCCACATTCACTGAGCATGTGTAATAGGGTTGCTCTGCACATGCATCACGGCCCTTCACCCAAGATAAATGGGTACCTGGCACTCTTCACCGCTAAGTGTCTAAAAGCTCAGAAGGTCAACAGGCCAGGAAGGGAGGCATTGAACTACTGCTATACATGGTCATCTTCAGCCCAAGTCGACAGGGTTGGCAGGTGTTTGTATTTTGAAAGGTTTTTCTTCCCAAGCCATTTTTTTTTTTTTTTACCTCTCTCTTTTTCTCTCAAATGCGCTTCATCTTTGTCCTTGTTGAGGCAAGATCCTCTTTGAAAGGCAGGATCTGGCCTACCATCTGCAATACCATGGTCATATTGCCTACATAGCTTATCAGAATTCTGCTTAATTTTAAAATGAGAGGGACAAATGTATCTCTTCCCTTGATTTTGTCACCCTGTTTTATGTTGCTGTTGTAACCAATACTATTTAACTTTTTAAAACATGTTTCAAACATCTTCTAAGGTGAATTCAGTCTATATTTCTACCTGGAGTCTCATCTCAGTTAAGAAAGTAAAGAATAGTGACAAGTCATTTTTACTTAATGGACAATTAACTGCTATAGCATGTTTTGTCACGGAATCTGAAATCATTCTACAGTCTGAATGAATTAATCCTTGCTCTGCTGTTCAGAGGTCTCAGTAGATATGATACAGACTGTTGAACTTTAATGCAAACTTGCACGTGGAGGTTTAGATGAGCAGTCCACTTGACTTTTGTTCCCTTCTCTACTCATTTCTCAAATGAAAAGCTTTGGATACAAAGTCCAAACGTAAAGCACAGGATGTCAGTGAACATTTTACTCCTCAAATATTAATCAGATCTGTAAATCCAAGGAGCTGATTTCAAGAATTCTATTCAATTAATTCTTTAGGCCCTACATGCTCAACTTTGGGAGCTTAAGTTTCAGCACCTAAACATAGACCTAGACACCTTGGTAAGCTTCCTTTTAACAGAGAAAGGCAATAAATGCTTAGTGCTGCTGCAAATCCGACCAGTTTCATTTAGGTGTCTAAATATGCCCTTAGGTGCGTAGGTTTAGTCATCTAGGTTTGTGAACTGTGGCTTTTGTGTTTAAATAACCTACTTTATAAGCTGAGTACTTGGGAGAGGAAGAAATTGATTAAATCCTGGAAGCATGCAATGATGTGGTTACAGAAAGCATTCCGTGCTTTTTCACAGTACAATACATGATAATCCATATTAATAAGGCTTCCAATTATTTATGAAGTGCTATATTTAGCAGCTAAGCCCCTGAATAGCTATACAATGGAATTATGTTGAAAATGGATGTACTTCATTGAAATGGATGTACTGCAAATATACAGTACCTAAAAATAGCGCCGTATAATGCAACGTAATAAAGCTTACACAGAATGGCAGCGTTTCATTTCCCAGAAGCTCTTTCTCATATAAAACTGAAAACTGAATACGTCTCTTGCCAATTGTAAACATTAACACATACAGTAGCATCTCAGGAGAAGCAGAACAAATAAGGGAGGACACACAACTCACTTTTTCTGCCATTTCATGGGAGTGATGCAATGAATGTTCTCTTTCTGAGAACATTCGCCTTTGTTCATAGCTGGCTAGCCGACAAGTGAGCCATGAAGAAAGGGTGCAACCACCAATTCCAATGCATGCAAGAGACATGGAGGCAAGATGCAAAGAATAGAGAGCAGACGACTTCTTTGTCAGAGCACGAAGAAATTGAAAATTTAAGATTCCTCCGATTAGTCCACAGATGCAACAGGCAGAAAAAAGTATCATCTGTCAGGAAAGACAAGAGAAGTTATGTCACAGTAACATTTTTCAGAGACAGATTCATTCATATAAAAAATGAGACTAACCATAATTCAATGCTTCAATAGCATCAGGGACTGCAAAATGCTGCACAGACACTCATTTTTAACTCCCTCAGCTCCCACAGAGCTCCAAGGGTATACAATGCCTTCTGGTGTACAAGAGTTAAGATTGATGTTGCATGTAAGATAAAGTTGGGTAGAATGAGTTGCTCATGATAAAAGCTAGTCAATGGAAGGACTACTAGGACACAAATCTTCTGATTTCCAGCGTTTCATTCAAAACAGTAAAATGACAGAATGTGTTGTAATTTTCTTTTGTGCAGTTTCTCACCACTCCTCAGGAGTGAATACCTCGTGTATTTGCAGTGCATCTCTCTTGCTTTGTGTGCCATCTGACTCTGCCTCCTGTTCAATTCTAGTTTGTTCAGTCAGACAACAGTTTGAAGGCTTTCTACAGCTTTTGTGAGGACTCCAAAAGTGTTCAAGGTGAATGTGCTGGACAAAGAAGCAAGAGAAACAACCAAGAAATCTGTGATGCAGCTCTATAGAAGGTCAGTGTGGTGAGTATGTGTTTGTTTGTTTGCTTTTTTGTTTTTAACTTGGTTAAAGTGTTTCTGGGAAATTTAGAAGGATGTGAAACAGGCTGCATTAACGAGACATGTTTAAAGACCTCCTATCACTTTAATCACAAAGATGCCACCCTGGTCCAGGATGTCCTCAAGCCACAAATAACTGGAGGGCAAAAGACCTTATTATGGAGACACTGCTAAATTATTGTCTTGTTCACTTCCCTTGATACTGCTGGCCTGTCAGATGCTGATCTAGATGGGCCTTTGGTGTTACTCAATATGGCTTTGTATATAGAATGTACTTATCTACTGTGGTAGGAACAATTTATGGAGCCTTACAGACCACTTCTGTACACAGCTGGGATGAGAATTTTAACAGGAATGTGGCATTCAGGCTGTAGGCTGTTGTCCACTGAGAAGTGACTATTCCATGAGACCACCAAAGCAGACAGATTTTAGAAACTGGTTATGGTCCACATGCTTTAAGAAATGAGACTGTCATTGTAACACGGTTTAGGAAAACTCATTGTCATTCAAAAATAATCTGATTCCCTTCACACTTACGCTGGTTTTACATGACTTCCATCTGTATATGGCAGAATAATCAAGCCAACAGAAAATTAAGACAGACATTATCACTTGCAATAGGATCATATCTTTAACATAAAGTTCTGCTGTGACTTGTGTGTTAATAACACTATTTTGCTGCATAAGAAAAATTACTGTACTTCTGATTCTTAGAAGAGACAGAAAACTTCTGCCGTCACTTTAAAAGTGGCTTATTCATGATTCTGATTGCAAAAAGAACTTATTAAAACAGTGAACAGCTCAATATCTAGAATCAAACTTGGTCAGCAGCCTCACTGAGGTGGCAGCTCAGTCATAGAATCGTTTAGGTTGGAAAAGACCTTTAAGATCATCCAGTCCAACCATTAACCTAACATTACCAAGTCCACCACTAAACCAATTAAGGGTAGAGTAGCAATTTCATGTTTCCTGGCTTGGTGGCTGGATTATTTATAACAAAAGTGAAAACTAGGAATCATTAAGATTGGAAAGGACCTCTAAGATCATCAGTCCAATCATCAACCCAACACCACCATGCCCACTAAACCATGCCCCAAAGTGCCATATCTACCTGTTTTTTGAATGCTTCATGCCACACTTCACGGAAATGGGTTTTTGAAGGAGAGAAGGTACAATTCAGTGAAGTTATTGGGGAAGTTTTTATTGACTTGGCATAGATTTGTGTCAAAAAGTTTTCCATCCATATTTATCCAGGCAGGCCTAAATAGGGATGCATGGCTTAAAATGGGCCATTTCAGAGCTGCCTTGTTTTCCTTGATTAAACCAAAGTGCTGGTTGCTTTTTTGGACTGCTGACTTGCAATTTTTACTGACTTTTTATCAGAAACACTTGGACACAGAAAGCCCCCAGTAAGGAGTTCAAGTTAGATAAGTATGCTTTTCAAATACTTTTGTATTATGTATGCAGTGGAAAAACTTACCACAAGTCCAGATTTTTTTTTGGCGCACAATATTCCACATATGCCACAAAGGAGAAACTGCAAAGAAAAAAAAAAATACTAGTTATTTCATCATTTAAGGTCTCAAGTTTAAATCCTGCTGTGTTGCTGTAGTGGTGACCACAACAGTAGGTTAGGCAATGGTTACAGTTGTTGTCAGCATTTTTATCACAAACCTTATGTTTCAGGAAGTTATAACTCAACCATAAACACACTTATCTGAGAGGAAGAAACTGGAATGAGAAGTCAGACTGAGGATGATTACCCATAAAAAAAGAAAAAAAAAAAATCCTACTTTTAAGCTGCTTGGGTAAACAAAACATGAAAAAAAAACAGTGTTGCAAGCAAAATATGCCTTTTTGCTCTTTTTTTTTTTCCTCAGAAAACTTTAGGAAGGTAGTAGTCAGTGATTCAAATAATCTACTTTCAACCATAGCTGAGGTACTTAATGCTCTGATCCTCTGCAGATGCAGGTGAAAATATGAGTACATCTTTTGGTGTGGCTACACTGAGCATGCAGGAAAATCTTTTCTTAGATGCTAGATAGCCCACTTCACAAAACATAGCATGAAGGTATCTGTACTTTTTTCATGTAGTTCCCTTTCACAAACTGATCTGCAAATTGTCACATCAAGCATTAGGCAAAAAAATGCTTAACAAAACCAGAAACATCCCCTACCAGCTGATATGAATAGGTGTTAATGCTTTTTAGTGACCTACATCAAAGACCAATGATGTTCTCTGATGTCACTTTTTCCTCCTACAAAAAAGTTTAACGAGGGAAATAGCTAACAGTCCCTGAGGGAGCAGTCATGCTAAGAACTACAGTAGCTGTATGGAAGCAATAAGGCCTTCTCCAGGTGTTTGTAATACTGTCAGAAGATTTCTTTGATACCTCATAAACTCTTCTATTAAGAAACCTGTGGTACTTATTTTCAGTAAAGCTAACCCTGCACCCCTACTGGGAACTAATTTTATAGTTTGAAAACTGGATTTTTCTGCACTCTTGGTTCCACTGAGATGGTATTTCTAGCAAAAGGCTCTGCTTGACCTTGATTTAGGATTAAGTCACAGAACAGACCTGGCTATTACATAAGAAGTGAAAAAAAATTAAGCCATTCCTATATGGCATTCAGGGTCCATGTAATATATTGCATGTACATCTCATTTACCTTCTAAAATTTTGCAGCTTCAATATCTCAGTTGAAGAGGTATGTTAATACATAGTTTATCTCCCTCTAACTAAAGTAGTTCATGCATGTAGCTAAGCATAAGTCTTGAAATGTACTTTTACTCTGTTAGGCCCATTGAATCAGTTCCCCACAATGAATACGGTTAGATTTTGTATATTATTTACATCTACACTAAGCATGGGATGTGGAATTAATGCCAATCTGATTATGGAGAGAGCTGGATCATCTAGACCTTGGCGCTGAATGGCTCAGGACATACCAGGACATACAACTGGTAATTGCTACTAGAGCTCACCCATTGGAATAACAATTGAAAACCCAATGGGTAGGGCTCCCTCTGTCCCTTTCCCACAGGCAGAGGAGATTTCAACTCAGAACTATCACATCTGCCTTGTAAGTTTTCACTCAGGCCTTCTGTGAAGTTTTGGAGTTTCACTCCCAATCCTGTGATTGCAGATTGCCTTCAACTGAAGGCATGCTTCAGATTTTCACATGTGGTGTCTTGTCTTTCTCAACATTAATGCAGAAACCTCAAAAAAAATTTGTAGAAGACATCACTGTAATTAAGTTCTATTCAGTCAGATTTGATAAAGGGGATTAATAATGTAATTTCTCTGTGTAGTGATTGAATAGGTTTAAAAGCAAGATTTTGTATAAAGAAAAATTTGCAAGCTCTGGAAAGCTCACAGAAAGGATCTGGAAGATACCATCAAAGGTAGTTTCAACTTGTAACAAGTGTATGTTAACTAGTTTAAAAAGCTGGGGTTTTGATGATTTACTTTCAAAGCTGAAAGATTAGGTCACCCATTTTTTCAAGAATGCTCCAATTCTGCTTCTATTAGAGTCAATGGATTTTTTACCATTGATTTCAATCACAGACTTTCTATTTCCATTGTACAGTCTGTGCTAGCCAGAAGGGAATGTAATGAATGTATATTATCCTTGCATATGACCAAAGGAGCAACAAGCAAACTACATATTCACTCAGCATTAGAACCCACTAGTTTGGGCAGTTCTGCTATTCTTTACTGTTCTTCAAGGACAGAAAGCACACCCTTCCAAACTACCTTTATGTAGTTCCGTATACATATATATTACCTAAGGTATTTCCCAGCTGAAATCCAAAGAATAGTGAATGAGCTACTCTGCAAGCCCTAAGGTACTGGCTTCTCAAAAACAAAGGGTGACTACTGTATTCCATAGTTGTTAAAGTATCTGAGGGACTACCTGGTTATACATACAAACTGGGGGATGAGAGGCTGGAGAGCAGCCCCATGGAAAGAGATCTGGGGGTCTGGCTTGATGGCACGTTGACTATGAGTCACCAGTGTGCTCTGGCAGCCAAAAGGGCCAACCATGTCCTGGGGTGCACCAAGCACAGCATAGCTAGCTGGTTGAGGGAGGTGATTGCCCCAGTCTACGCTGTACTGATGCAGTCCCACCTCAGGTACTGTGTGCAGTTTTAGGCACATCAATATAAGAAAGACATCAAACTATTAGAGTGTGTCCAGAGGAGGGCGACCAAGATGGTGAAAGGCCTTGGGGGCAAGATTTACGAGGAGCAACTGAGGTCACTTGGCTTGTTCAGCTTGGAGAAGAGAAGGCTGAGGGGTGACTTCATCGCAGTCTACACCTTCCTTGAGGGGGGCAGTGGAGGGGGAGGTGCTGATCTCCTCTCTGGTGACCAGTGATAGGACACATGGAAACGGAATGAAGCTGTGTCAGGGGAAGTTTAGGTTGGACATTAGGAAAAGGTTCTTCACTGAGAGCGTGGACGGTCACTGGAACAGGCTCCCCAGGGAAGTGGTCATGGCAGCAAGTCTGTCAGGATCATCTGGATGAACCGTCTTAGTCATATGGTTTAGTTTTAGGTAGTCCTGTGAGGAGCAGGGAGCTGGACTCAATGATCCTTATGGGTCCCTTCCAACTTGAGATATTCTATGATACTATGACAATATTTTATTGTGTCAGGGTCTGTATGTATACACTGTATGCATTTTCTCTTTCTGTACATTTACAATATTTCTAAATATACACAAGGAATAAGGTGTCCTGTACTTAAAGGACTCAACAGAGAACTCAGAGGAGTTGGGTATTCCTGGTTCTTCCACATTCTTCTGTGTGAGCCAGGGTGAGGTCATGCCAAAGCTTTATGATCTGTATGACTATGAGACAAGCAAGTTGTGAAACTGAATGCACTAGTGTGCCTGAACATGTTAAAAACCTTGAAAGAAAAGCACTTGGGCAGTAGCAAAGGATTAATATTATTTGGTTTTTTTTTAAATGAGAGTGTGTTACATTCACAGAGAAAAGGCTTGCCCAAAAACCAGTATGGTTATTCATTTATGACAGCAGGTATTTTACTATTAAAAACAATGGATAAATTTGAGCCACAGTGTCAGGCAATTAAACCTCATGCAAATTTGAAAATGTTGAGCCAAGTTTACCCCTTTCTTCTGAGGCTGCAGAGGAGTCTGATTCACTGGAAGCAGTAGAAACCTGCTTTACAGAGAATATTAGCGATACCCGGGGCACAGGAACACTGCTCAATGCAGAGTTGCCTTAGCCAGGCTTCTCAATGTAAAGACCTCTAGAAAGGTTCAGAAGTCAGTGGGACATTATGTGATTGACTCTGTTCATTGCTTTTTGATAGATCAGCTAGCGACTCAGGAATTCTTTTCTTGATGCTATAGTAATTTCCCATAAAAATTTTCATGTCACAGTGTTGTGGTCAGCAGTAGTGAAAGGTACATGGGAGAAATTACTCTAGCTCTTTGCACTAGAAAAAGAATGCAAGTACAAATCAGACTCAAAAGGAATTTCCTATGTTTGTTCCTGTTTGTCTTTTAATTCTGAACTCTTCTGTTTTGTAATACTGCCAACTGGAATACAGCCACCAGGGGCTCTGCTGTCTTGCCACTCTGTTCTTTGCTATGCTGAAGGACTTCATCTTCACGTCAATATGTAATACCATTTAAACCTGACTTGTAACTGTTGAGCTTCTCTGGACTGCAGTTTACCCATGACTAACTAATACTGTCATGGTGAGGACTTGCTCCTTTCTACATGATCATTGATTATCCTCAGTCAATTTTTATCAACTGTTTGGACTCTTTAAAAGTAGATACATTTTCTAACCATGTCAAATCTGAAGTAAGTTAAGGCAAACACACTTACACTGAAAACAAGTAGATCAGAAGTGGAAAAGAAATATATCACTGAAGATAAGCTCCTTATAAAGAATGATCAATTGTTGAATTGTTCACAACTCATGCCAAGAAGGCGGCTAAAATATTTCATGAAGGATAAGCTAAATTAGTAAGTCCTCCAAAATGCCCTGGGAGCCATAGAGGGACCTTCAGCTGGGACATGAAGCAGATGTTTCACTGTTGGACTTTTGTTTTAATTATTATTCTTCAGAAAAATCAAAGGCTAAAACATCCAAAATCTCACTTAAAAACCTACATAGACCACTATTTGCAAGCAATTCCCATTATTTCTGGGGTTACTTTTGGTTGCAGACTTATTCATACCTCCTGTGATACATGATATTTTGTGTCAAGACTAGCACAGGAGGCAGGGATTGAATGTACCATACAATAATACATAGGGGCAGAACCACTCTTGGGTGATGGGTAAAAAATCCAAAGACAGACACTAGCACAAAAGGTACTTAGAGCCTCAGTGGGCTGTGAGTGCCTCAGTCTCCCTTTCAGTGAAGATTTGCTGGGGACCTAGCAGAGCCAGAGTCCCTCTGATAGCACTAGTGTGATTGCAAGGTGATGCAGGAGTGTCTAATTGTCTGTGGAGTTTTTGCCATTCACACTGCAGCTGTGCCTGCTTATG